CCAATAGACAATACATTTGAGACCAAGCATTTAATACATAAGCCTTCAGGAGACATACATTCAAGATCCAAACTGCAGCAGCTTCAACATACTGTGTTTCCCTAGAAAACCGAACTGTTGTCATTATCAGACGAAGATGAATAACCTTTGTCTATAGAATGCAGCTGTGTGAAAGTTTATTCATTCACTTTTGCAAAGTAATAGAGCAACTTGCACAAATGTTCTTAAAACACACCTGCACAAGTATTTGCACAGTGGCTGCTGGGGTGAGTAGAATGAACACAAATTTTAAGTTTCATTTATGTGCCTGCATTGTTGAATGTTTAAATATCAGACATTGTTTCATGATAATAAAGAAGGCATATAAGTTAAAAGCATACAGAAGAGTTCCTCTGATCATATTCAGACAAGGAAAATACTGGCCATACTTCTACTTCTGACCCCTGTTCACCCAGAGGAAAAAGAAGAGAAAAGGAATCAGGAATGAGATACTTACAGTTTACTTTAAATTTAATCAGAATGGTCAGAATAGTTGTGACATGGTTAATGTGCAGTTTCAGCAACAGCACAGAACAGCTCAATTTGAAAAGCAAGTACTCATTAGCTTAATGTAGGGCCAAGCTGCGATTCCAGCAGAGCCTGATTCAGGGTAAATCTTCAGAAAATAAGAAATCAGAGGTGTAAGGCTGGGGAGTCACACCCCAAAGGTTGCATCTGAAAAGATACTTATATAACTCCAAGTGAGAATTTAAGGCTCTAATCAGGAAGCCTATTTGAATGCTCTTCTTTGAACTTTCAAAGTTTAGTTATTTAAGCATAATTCAATATTTATCTTCCCAATTAAATGCATACTCTCCTTCCCAGTGCCCTGGTAATATCATACTGTTCTCATTCCTAGAGCCCTCATCATGTTCTGCATTGCAACCTAGTTTTAATTCCTGATTTCTGACCCTCTCCTCAAGGGAAACTGCTCATGGATAGAGAAGTGTCTCCTTGTTTATCTTTGAAGTGCCAAGAATGACTACAAACAAGTAATTGTTGAATTGCATGTTGCCCTATTCATTCACTCATTCATCCACTCACTTTGTAAGTACTTTGTAGTTAGCAGCACAGTTCTGTGGGCTGATGAAAGAGCCAAGGATGAACGATCAAAAGCTCCACCATGATGGAACTATCCTGCCTGGATGAGAAGGATCGTACATTGTAAAATCTGTCATGTTAGAAGACAGTAAGTGTTGTGGAATAAAGAGAAATCCAAGTGAGACATGCAGGAAGTGCTGGGGGCCTTCAGGACTCAATGACTGTACAGGGCTCATTGAAAAAGCAGGGAAGATGAGCTGCGAGAACACACTGACGAAGAACATGAAAGGCAGAGAGATGGGCAAAGAGTATCGGAGCAGATCTGCCTCCCCCAACTCAACCCCCAGAGCAGCAAGACCACTGTAGCCCCCAGTTGGCAAATCAGAAGCTAAGAGCACAGTGATGAGGACAAAGGAGTGATCAGGATGCACCATTAATCTTGTCAGCTCTGCTGAGAATTTACATTTACATGCAGTAAAACACCCAGTGCTCATTTTCTTCTGAGATCAACCATGCAAAAGAATGCTATCGTTTATTTTGGAGTGGGAGGACATTTTGAGCACAGAAGTGATTATTCTGACTTGTGCTTTTACAGGACATTATTGTCAGATTTTATTGAGAGAGACACTACAGGAAATAAGCAGAAGGACATCTCATTTGGTAGCTATTATGTTGCTATAGGAAAGTGATGACAGTGGTCCGGTCAAGGCTTGCAGCTGGGGGAGCAGCAACAAATGGCCAGTTGCTGGGAATGCAGGCATGTGCTGCTTAATGACAAGGTCCCCGTCTGAGCACGGCATTAGCTGATTTCAGTCTATGAACATCAGCAGTGCACTTGCTCAACTAAGGCAGCTAAGATTTCACCGGGAGATAGGAATTTTTCAGTTCCACTGTATTCTTATGAGATCACCATGGTATATGCAGCCCCCAGAACATTATTTCCAAGTTAGAGATAATCAGATTTACTGAAAATAAGAAGAAATGCAAGACAGCAGACAAAACTGAGCTTGGAAGACAGTAAGAGACAGAAACAGAAGTCGGAGAGAGGGAAGATCCCCTGTATGCAATTTCTGATAGCTAATCTTTAAAAAAAAATCGTGTATGAGTGTTGTTCTTGAAGGCATGTAAATGTATCACACACATGCAAACCCAGGAAGGCCAGAAGAGTGCATTGGACCCCCTGGAACTAGAACTATGCACAGCTGTTAGTGGTCGTGTGAGTGCTTCATCTTCCCAAAGACCAACCAGTGCTCTTAACTACTGCACCAGCTTTCCAGCCCCAATAACTAATCATTTTTTTTTGTTGCAAGCATTATTTGATATTTGGAGCGGAAATGATATTTATGGAGTGTCTATCCAATGACAGAAAATATTTTAAGAATTTCACCTGCTAAGTATTTTATGTATTAACTGTGTAGATTTTGTGATATTACTTTAGGTAGAGGGGTGAAAATACAAAGACATTTAGGCACATTTTTGAACTTTCATATATGTATGTTCTTTACTCAGAATGCAAAACCATAATCTACTGACAGTAGAGGTTATCTGACACTTTCTTTCACTGTGGTATTTCATTGAATTTTCTTTTTAAAAAATTACTATAGTTACACAGACACTCTCTCTCGCAAATTCTATTACAAAATAAAGATATATATCGCCATCTAGCGACAGTGCTAACTTCAGTCTACAGTGGAATAGATATGCGGGCAACCAGAGTTTGTCTAAAATTAGCATAATGTGTAAAGAAAATAAAGATGCTGTTATAAATGTATGAGATGAGAGTAGAGATCAAACAAACATGATTAAAGATTAGATCAAAGACTCTGAATGCTCAAGTTATCTTCAGCTTAAACACTGCCTTTATTCTTTGCACTTTTTCTACACTCATTTATCTATTGGTTTATTATTTTATTTTTATAAATTCTTTTACATATTGTATATACTCTATACACATGTTGCATGTCGAATACTATCCTAAAGCTATTCTAAGTTTAGGATAAAGCTTGGGAAAATTCATGTGTTGATAGATGTTGAAAAATATGCAAAGTTTTATCACATAAGATAATCACTAAAATGTAATATGAGATTTCAAATTCAAATACTAGTGATGCCAAATAAATAATCAACTTAGAGTTAGAGGAAGGCTCATGGAGTAGATGGCAATTTGAATGTTTCACCTTTCATCACCTGCCTGAGCACCATTATCTTTCACCATAATGGTATAGTGAATTGGTCCATTTCAATGCACTATCACTATATTAAAGTGTGCAGAAACTCCCCGTTCACAAGTTACAGGCTGTAATCATCATCCTGGCTTCCTATGCCCCCACATATCATGACAAAATAGACTGACTGGGTATGGTGGCACATACCTGTAATTCTAGCATCCAGGAGCTGAGGCAGGAGGATAGTGGATTCAAGGCCAATCTGGACTACACAGTGAGACTATCTCAAAAAATACAGAATTCACATCCAAGCACATGTGTTGTTTGTTTCTATATGAGTTAGTGAATAACTGTGTGCACAATCTTCTCATCTCTACAGCGTGGTGATTACAGTTAATTCATAGGGTTGTTGTAATGAATCACTACAGTTTTACAGTTTTTCATATCTTCAAAATACATTCTTGGAGCTAGTGGCACTCAATAAATAGTGGTTATTAAAACACTCACATGCTTCTTTTTTCCTTCTCAAATTCCTATTTTCAGAGTCTCTTCTCTATGCACCTGAAATGAGTTTGGAATGACCAACATCTCAAGTGTCTAAACATTTAGACTTCAAATCAACTCCACATTTATTTAAAGTTAGCCTTTATTTCATATGTACAATGTACTTTACCAAGACCAGTGGCTTCTCTGACCTTAAATTTCTGATATCTTCACAGTCTGGTAAAGAAAGCATAAATTATGACCATTTTTGTTTTTATTATAATATAGTTTATGGTTTTTAGTATCTTTAACCTGTACCATGTTCTGAGTTACCTCAAAAAACCAAATATTATTATACACATTTAAGTAGAACTAGATATACTTTACACATTTAGAAAATTTTTTGAATATATTTACCTAGTGAGGTAAATACACTAGTGCCACAGTGTATGTGTGGAGGTCAGAGAAGAACTTGTGGGAGTTGGTTTCCTTCTACCACATGGGCCCGAGGGATTGAACTCAGGTCCTCAGGCTTAATAGCAAGTACCCTTACCTGATGAACCATCTCACTAGCCCTATGAATTTTAGCAACACACAATTAACCTTTAAATATCTTTCAGTTGTCTTAATAAACCTAGAGGAAAATAATTTATTAAACATAGTTTTTAACTTCTTTATATACTTGACAATACAAAGCAAACAATTAAAGTATCGGTTTCATATTTTAATACCTGTGTTCCAAAGACTAAAATCTAGCATGTATGTTTTTCTTTTTAAGTATTTAACTTTCAGAGTTTTAAAAATGTGGCTGTTATTTGAAAAAAAATAAGATTAAGCAATTTACATAAACTCTTAATCTATACATGAATCAAGGATACCATACAATGACTGAAATAAACTAAAACGCATATTTTCTTTAAGGATTAATGTTTCACTAATTCTATACAGGAAAGCCAAAAACTCTCAACTAAGATGCTCTCAGGTTCAACACTTACTTATTTTCCTAAGGAAATAAATAGAGGATAGAGCCAGGATTATAGAAAAAAACTCCTTCCTTGCTGATATGACTAAAATGTCCATACGCTCTATCACACACACATGTGATTGTTGTCTTGCACAACCCAAGGATATGTGTGTGAATCAAAACCAGATTTGTTATTTGTGATATTGCAAAAAGGAAATTTTCATCAAAGAATCATCACAATCATTCCATTTCTCTAATGAGTTCGGCGAGTGATATAATAAAATAAAAATTGACTTCTTCCTCCATAGGACCTGATCGCAGATCTGAAGGAGCAGCTTTCATCTCATTTCAAAGAAGTTATGGTGGGCCTCATGTACCCACCACCATCTTACGATGCTCATGAACTCTGGCATGCCATGAAGGTAGAAATCTAATCCAATAATATACCTGCAACCAGTACAGGCTGATTCAATAATTAACTTGTGACAGGTACAGGCTGATCCAATAACATACCTGTGACAAGTACAGGTTGATCCAATGATAAACTCATGACAGATACAGACTGAACCAATAATAGACCCATGACAGGTACAAGCTGATCCAATAATATACTATCACAGGTATAGGCTGATCTAACAACATACCTATAACAGATACAAACTGATTCAATAACATACCTGTTACAGGTACAGGCTCATATTTCAACAAAGAGAAGTCCCTATGATGCTCATGTTTATTTATATGAATGAGGAGACAGGAAAGAATGTCTAACCAATCATGTAACAGTGAGAGTGCTACATGACTCTTAGAGTCATGTAGCTGGGACCAGCTGGTCTTTGCTGTACAAAGTCAAGCATACTGAGCCATATCTAAATTCCATTAACAAAAGGAAAGAGTAAATTACTGTCAGTACCATTTAGCTTTGTCTCTCCTCCATATATTTTCCTATATTGAGGAAGACATGTTTAGTTATCCCTTGATATAGGAATCTTTTAAATCATGTGAATCTTTTAAAATTATTTGTCAAGATTCGGTTCAGAATCAAAATGCTGAATCAGAGACAAAATATCAATGACATTGTTATTACTTTTATAAATTTAAATTAGTCATTATAGAAAGTATTTCTCAGAGGCTTCAGAATTTTAATTCTAAAGAATTATGATCATTTTTTCTTACAGAAAAGTCATTTTCAAGTAATAAATTATCAATTCATTACAGGGTTTTGTTGTATAGGGGCATAGGAGAAGATGACCTTTCACTTCTTTCAAATGCTGACATTAAACACCTGTAGAACTCTGAGTCATTCCAGTACAATGCTTGACAATGACCAGATTACCCCAACCAGTGAACAGCATGTGACAGAAATGAGGCAAGAGAAAAAAATAAAACCTAAAGGGACAAGGATTTCAGCCATAATATTAACTGATCAGATAGTTCTTGTACAAAATTCAGAGGAATTCCAAAAAATCATATTTCTAAAATGTTACATGCCAATTCTCATCTCTTGCAAAATATGTGAAAAATTATAACAATGAAGTCACTTGCTATTACTGTTCAGATAAAACTGCATGCTTGATCAATACCTCACAGAAGGACAAGGACTCCTGAGGACTTCCTGGAAACAATGTGCTGTGTTTAAAATCAGTTACAGATTACTACATCAAATTCTTTAAGATACCACAGAATATAGAACGTTCAGATGTTTAGGCAAACTGTGCGCAGTCCAACATCCATCATGATGCAAGCACAGGGCCCCAAAATATCCTTGATAAATTATAAAACCTGTCCTCCGGGTTACTTAAGAATTAATTCCAGCAACATGTGGAATAACAAATCCCCCTCTGTGGGAAGCAGGCCCGGTCGAGCCGGCCAAGTTGGCGCCCTGGCTGGCTGCCAAGCCTCGTGCCCCTCACTTGTTTACTCCAACCTGTGCAAGCACAATAAGCCCGATCATGTGCTGCCTGCTTGATCAGAGACATCATCGAGTATGATCCTGCTCCGTGGCCCAATAAGCTGCCACTCTGCCCGCTGAGTGTGTGTGTGCCCTGATTGGTCCTGGCTGGGGGGAGGGCTGTTGGGAATGCTATATGAAGAGCTGAAGTGTGTAATAAGAGAGAGAGTGAGAAGAAGAAGCCTGAACCTCACCTTGGTGTCTGTGTCGTCTTTCCTCGGCTCTGCTGGACGGAGTCGTGGCTTGCGGCACCCCTCCAAAGGCAAGTGGAAACACTTAGCGTGTTTTCCCATATTGTTTAGAAATGTCCATACTGTTTTTTTAAGAAACAAAAATTTCCTACAGATAACATTATCTTCCCAGGATTATTAAACAGTAAACACCAGACCCAGATCTGAAGCTGAGTTTATTATTATCCCAAATGCTTCATTTTCCCTTACCACCGCTAAGAACACCAAGAATGCTTTGTTCTTTTATTGTACCCAAGGTTATCTATTATTCCAAATAAAAATGCCTTCATATCTCTCTGACTTTTAGGGAGCAGGTACTGATGAGAATTGCCTTATTGATATATTAGCTTCAAGAACAAATGGAGAAATTTTCCAGATGCGAGAAGCCTACAGTTTGCGTAAGAAAATATATAGATGTCTATATTATACACATATACAAACCATGCCTTTCAAATAACACTGAATATTCCAGTTTGTGTATTTTAAATACTTGTAAGCCACTCTTACATTCTAAATATGACTCACTAGAGTAGAACAATGGTTTTCAGAGGTTCAGGAGTAAGTGGGAGGGAGGTTAGGGAGGTTATTCAATTGATACATTGTTACAGATGGGAGAAATAAGTTCTGATATTCTAGGCTAAAGAGAGGGCTCAGCAGGTGAGAGTACATTCATACCACTGTTGCAGAGGAACTGAGCTGGGTTCCTAGCACCACCCACATTGGGTGACTACAAGCATCTGTGACTCCAGCTACAGGGGATCTGAGGCTTCTAACCTCTGCAGACAACTTCATTCATGTGCTCATGCCTACATACAGACAGGTACACATACACATAACCTAAAAATAAAAATAAACTGAAAAGTTCTGACATCCTAAGGCACGATATGGTGAAGACAGTTAATCATTCATCACATATCTAAGTACATAACAAAGAGGATTTGAATGTGTCACGAAGCAGTAAGTTATCATTACACAATATATTCATGGTTTGAAACAACATATTGTACCCCATAAATATACACAATTTTTATCTGTCAATCAAAAGAATAAAAATAATAAAAACAAAAATACAATAAAAAGATATGACATAATATTCATTAAGTAAAATTGATTTTATCACACTTTTAAAAATTAACTAACTTCCTAGAAAATCAAGCAAATTTTTCAAAAATATAATTGCAAATATCTATGAGGTGAATAGTTTCATTATGACAAAAACGTGTCCAGCATTTTGATTCAGAGGCATTTTATTTTTTATCCAGGAGAGACCTGGAGCATAAATAAAATAAAACAAAGAGTAAACATTACCCAACACATCCTACAAATACATTTTTGGACTTTACCTAAATTTTATAGTCCTGGTAAGCCATCTCAAAATCAAATTTTATAATTTTATAAATAAATTTGTAATTCATTGTGTATTCAAAAAAGGTCTAATGTTTTAATTTCCATTCCATTATGTATTATAAATATTGATTGGTCCTTGGAGTCACCTATGTTGTTTCTGAACAAAAACGGGATTTTCACAAGGGGAATGGAGTAAGAATTTGAAGACTTTCACTTGAAGCATTAACATGAGAGGAAACACTTTGAGAAGGCGCTTGTCTGACCAGCAGAGTGTGGAAACAGACTTATAATCCTGAGTTTCATAACTAGAGAATGAGGAGTGACTCCCGATGCTCTTCTTCAATATCAGAATAAAACTTTTTTTTTTGAGACAGGGTCTCCCTGTAGCCTCAGTTGTCCTGGAACTCACTATGTAGACCAGGCTGGCCTTGAACTCAGAGATCCGCCTGCCCTTGCCTCCCAAATGCTGGGATTAAAGGCATGTACCACCACGCCCGGCCTAAAACTTTCTTTTTTATACAATAGACTCAGGCTATGCTACCATTACTGGACAGGTCTCTGAGGTGTTTTGTGGTGGTGGTGGTGGTGTTTTGTGTCTTTGTGTCTTTGATTTGTTTTGGGGGTATCTGGCACTGTTTTGTGACAAAAAGAAAAATCAACAGATTGATTGCATCCCCATACTTTACACTGTGTGGCGTTAGTTTCTGTAAAACACATCGGTATGTAATTGTGTAATAAATCACACTTTTAACATGGATATTTTCTTGCCCAGAATACAGCAGTAACCTTCAAGAGGACATTTATTCTGATACCTCAGGACACTTCAGAGATACTCTCATGAACTTGGTCCAGGTATGCATTCCAAAGTTCATTCCATTTTATACTCTTTAAAAACCAGATGTATTGCATTCCCCTCAAAATAGGACACAAAACTCCAGTGTGTCACAGTTCAAACATAAATTCTGTGTAACAGCATTTACTGAACACCAGCCAAGTTCAATCCACTCAGCTGAAAACTTAGCTCCACATGTGAGACGTATGACCATACAGCAGCTCTGGTCGTTGATCAAAATACACTGTACGACATTCAAAAACAAAAACAAAAAAAATTAAAAATTCCAAATGTACCATATTCCAAATGACTGTAAGTACATAGACACATGTAAATTATTATATATCCTAAGATAGTTAAAAGACTTAAAATGTTAGTTTTAATTTATAATTCAAAGTAGAAATGTATTCTGTTTTCAACTGCTAAATGAGTTAGAGGCAAATTATCTTCCTTAGACAGCTACTCTGTACTTAGCACTTTGTGATAAATGAAGTATATTTCTCATTTACTGCAACAAAATACTGTAATGCAAATATTCTTAGAAATAGTTCACAGCTAGAGAAGCAAAATTAAAAAAGAGTACAGCTTGGGGTTTGAGGTATAAGAAATTCCTAGCGTGTGCAAGCTCTTACCCCTAGGGTTGATCTCCAACACCACAAAACAGTGTGAGTGTGTGTGGACTGATTGTCCAAGAAGTTAAGTTGAAATTCAGAATTAACTAGATCCTATTGTATCTTCTTCTCTACATATGTTCTCAGTAGTACTTATATAAATTCCAATGTACTATATGTTACCAAAGAGGAATCTTACATCAAGTTAAAATTATATTTCCCAATTTACTATACATTATCAAAGAGGAATCTTACTTCAAGTTAAAATCGTACTTTCTGTCATTTATCTTCTTCCACAAAGACTAAATGGTATGTAATTATTTCTGTCCAATTAACATTTCTCAAAAATATTCCACCTATTAGCACTGTAATAACTGTAACACTTTAAAGTATCATTGCCTTATATTTTATGTCTAGTTTTTAATGCACCTGTCATTTCATTAAGAAAAGGCATTCAGGAATGCAAGAAGAGTGTTAAACTCCAAAATATTAAAAACAGACTTAAAAACTCACAGGTTTGGAAAACATCTTGAAAGCCATCGATTTTTATTTCAATTTATGATGTGTGTTTGTGCTTGTTATGATGTGTATGTGTGTTCATTGTGTGTGTCTCATGCCGTGTGTATTATGGGGTTTGTGTTATGGTGTGTGTGTGTGTGTGTGTGTGTGCATGTGTGCGTGTGTGTATGTGTGTACTATGCTGTGTGTATGTCTAAAGCAAAACAATCATAACTAAATCCACAAAGCCTTCCTTTGTACGTCAAAGTATTGCTGAATAATTAGCAAAGCAACTCACTAAAAGTCATAAAATTCTGTACATGATGATGTGCAATGAGAAAAGAATTCACTGTAACTATAGATGGAGGAGGAGATCCCTTTACAGAACAATGAAGGGGGAAAGGGCACAGGGAGCCACACGCTCTGTTGGGAGTTAGAAACACCAGATGAATATACAAGGCAGAACATCATAGATTCTTTATTTTATCTGAAATGTTCTGTGGCCAATTTCCATGACTTCCTGAACTGTCTTCTTTATTGTTTTTATCAATTACATCTTATTATTGGAGGGCACACATACAATGTGAAGGTCAGAGGGCAACTTGTAGAAGTCAGCTCTCTCCTTCCACCATATAGGTCCCAAGTATTGAATTCAGGTTTTTAGGCTTGGCCAGAGTGCCTTTACTGACTGAGTCATTCCACCAGTTCCTGAATGTTCTGTAACCCCAGTATTTCTTTGGTTGCCCTTAAAACTGCATTGGTTTAACTGGAGCATTTCTGTACCTGTTTGTCTTACCCATCTCCTTCTTAGCTTTCTATGAAAGGGTGCCATGGGGTTTATCCTCCTTGAGGGATCTCCCTCTTTTGCAGTTCAATTTTGGCAAACTCAGAGGGGCAATAGTTTACTCACAATCTAAGTATGCCACTCGTCTCAAATCTGAGTTTATGAAGTCTTTGAAAATAAACAGCCCTAAAAATTCTAAAGAATGGGGAGACCCTGTCTCAAAAGAAAAAAGTCAAGCTGAACGTGATGGCACATACCTTTAATCCCAGCCTTCTGGAGGCAGAGGCAGGTGGATCTCTGTGAGATCAAGTCCAGCCTGGTCAAGTCCAAGGATAGCTGGGGTACCAGGGAGACCCTGTCTCAAAAAATAAAAACTTGGAAACAATGATTATCCACTTTCTTCCAGTTATATTTATATACCAATTAACTACAAAGTTTCTAGAGATACATTTCTTTAAAAAATATTTCTTTATATCCTTGTATCCTCATTTTCCTCTTTACTTCACAACCTCTAGGCTCTCTCAGATGATAAAATGAGCCTGGTGTTATTTCAAGGCCGAGTTATAAGATGATTCTGCCTTTCAAACCCTCTGCAGGTCTCAGGTCACATTGCTTGACATCTGCAAGGAGTGCCATCTTCTGACTCATAGCAGCATCAAATTTCTAAACTTTTTTTCCTCTTCTATTTCTGCTTACAAGTCAACCAATTATTTCTGAGCTCATATCTTCCTTGTAATGCATGACTAAAAGCACACAATAAACTTCACTTCACAAGGCCAAGTGAGGCCCAGAACAGATGCCATTGATCAGAGCTTGCACTCCTGTGTCATGAGAGACATCACTAGAGGCAGAGGCTCAGTCCCCTTCCATCTTCATATCTCCGAGTTCATTATCTCTCCAAATTCCAGAAGCAGAAAGACAATGGAGACTTGTTCATGGGTGATTTGGGGCTTCATTATGGTGCATGTATTTCTTTGCAAATTTCATTGTCAAATAGCCCCACTATCAAGGGTGACTGAGAATTTTAACCCATTGGTTTTGTCTTCAAAGAGGTTTAATGAGTTTGGGGATCATCTACCCGTGAGCATCAAAATTGCAAAGAGTATTGGATGTTGTAGCCATGAAAGACAAACAGACAACAGGAATTGGTAAGGACAGACGTACATATACCAATATACTCTGGGAAAGACAGCTCTGGGCACAAAAAAAAAGGATAGCCTCTTTTTACAAGAAGATAGAAAATGTGAGCGAGAAAAATCACAGTGCTGTACATTTGTTCTAAAAAGTACTTTAAATAGAAAACTGTGTTTACATTTTTACCCATGCTTTACCTTTGTGAATTTACATTCACTCAAATCTTCTTTTCCAAGACCAGTGTTTGAAAGCTTTGTGCTATTAACTTTGACCTCACTATTAGAGTAATGAGGTTTACCATGGTATCAAGGAAGAAATAAATGCATGTAAAGAGTAAAAATACACTGCCTTAATCTAAATATATCAGATTTCTTGTGCTAGAAAGATGGCTCCACAGATAAAGGAACTTGCCACCAAGTCTGACAATCTGAGTTAGATCCACAAAACCTATATAGTGAAAAGAGAAAATCAACTTCCACAAATTATCCTCTGACCTCTGTACACACATGTCTCTCTCTCTCTCACACATACACACACACACACACACACACACACACACACACACACAAAATGAATGTAAATTTAAATTATGCCAAAAACTAAATATTTAAATAAATTGCTGTATAACTAATTCTCCCAAGAATAATGACAGACAGACTTAGTCATTAGGTTCTATGAGATTAATAAAAGACAGATTAATGAAAGACCAAAGATGAGGCTATATTTTGATCCTTAATTCCTATTTCCTTTTTTACATAAATTATATAAATTATGTATAAAATTTATATTAAAAATTGACCATTTACCTGTGATTTTTTTAGTATTACTCCAGCAACCAAGCAAGCAAATTTCAAAATTACTGACACAGTGCTGACTCATCATTTCCCCTCAGCTCTCTACAGCCTTCTTTTACTCCATGAGAACTGCTCTCCTCCAAGCTTTTTATAGTCATTCCTATTACCTCTTACACAACTTCAGTCTGTTTGCATGTCTGTCTTTCCCAGCAGACTGAGTTCCCTAAGCCTGAGGACTAAGTTTAAGCTCCTCACTAAGCTCTTTACATAACAAATGGTAAACAATTCCTATTGTTTGGAAATAAAGGCACAAAGAATAAGTCCTCGGGAAGTTTGAACAAACAAAATCAATGCTAAGTAAAGAAAAAACAAAGAGGACTTTTTGTATGATGATGAGTGTGTCATAGGGTTCTGGCCAATGAGCGTGTAGCATGCAGAGCAGGAAGGATGGGCATTCTGGTGGCCACACTGCAAAAGCACACTGGCTGGTAGAGCTGGTGTTGAATAGGGAATGTCCGTGTCATTACAGAGATGGCTGAGATCCTAGACTGAAGAGGCTCCTGTCAGCAGTAAAGAGCCACTGGGAAATGTGAAGTAGAATGTGACAAGATCAGAGAATAGTATAAATGTGCATACTTTGTGATAATTTACCAGGACAAATAGAAAGAAATGTGTGATACCCTTAGCTGTGACTTAAATGAAGACTTAAGTAAACCTAATTTAGTAAAATAAAAGCTAGCTAAGCATGGCAGCACATACCTAGAATCCAATCCCTAAGGCAGGAAAATCCAAAGTTAGATGCTTGAGGTACGTGAGTGAGTTCCAAGCCAATCTAGGCAGTGTAGTGCAAAACTGCCTCAAAAAAAACTAGTTAATTAAAAATGAAAACTAATTTTTCTTCTTAGTATCTCCTTTCTCTAATTCCTTTCTTCTCTTGACAATTGTATGTATGGAATCAATCAGATATGTCCTGATTGTTTGCTGAAATGGTAAAAGTAACACTGAAAAAGTTCAATAAGAAGATGCATGTGCACAGAGGAAAAAGATATGAAGGATTCCTCCATTTCCTTGCTCAGATCCTCTTACTGACCTCCTTCCAGCAGTGGGAGCTAGGACATTGAATTATGGTAGCGTAGATTCAAATTGTGGAAAAATATACATTATTTCTCATAGATTCAGGAAAATAGCTCCATAAACCC